ACCTCGACCACAGCGATACTGATTATATGTCACCGCCTACTGCCGTGGAAGCGGTATGTCTCATAAAACATTTATCGTTGTTTTTTTAATTAAGTTTTATATGTTGTTATTGTATTTCATGTTTTATTTTTTGTTGTATGTAGTGGATGGGAAAGATAATGCAAGACGTACAAAAACTCTCTGTGGAGAAGGACAGCATGAGTGCAACAGTGAGAGCAGCTGTTGATAGTTTGGAACAGACCCTTGCGCATTGGGAGTCGGCGTCCAAGAGGGATTACTGATGGTTTTGGCATTTTATTTGTAGAGCATTTTAAACATTATCATTTCAGTTTTTTAAATTGGACATTATGTTTTAAGTTTGTAACATTTTAGATTATTGTTTTAGCTTTCAACATTTTGACATTACCTTTCAACTTTGTTTTTAAATTTTGACATTACCTTTCAACTTTGTAATGCGCAACTTACCCATGCAACATATAAATGTAGTAAGCAATACAATATAAAAAATTAATGTTCTCATTAAAATAGCAACGTAAAAATAAGGTTACATAGAAACAATGTAAACATGAAAAACTAAAAGGCAGCTAGGGTGTTCCATTCGTGGATTCGGTCATGATATAGCGCATCCCAACCCTCTACGCTCGCTGTGCGAATGGTGTACCACCGAGGTATAATCGATGGCACAGGAAAATCGGATGACAGGTCTAGCCGGATGAAATGTCTGTAACGATCCAAGAAAAGCAATAGCTACCTCTTTGACCGTTGTAGTGACAGTCTCACGCGAAGACCAAGGGAGAACCGTGGTACAAGGATAATAAGCTCGACTATGCAATCCCAGCCCGAAATGCATGATTGTACACTTGTAAATGTTTGCCACGGCAAACAGATCTAGTGGCGCGTCAAAATAATGATTTTGACCGCAAGGTCCACCTCCCCATCGGATACGCCGCAGAGCCCTATCCAAGTCATCCTGGTACACATGACGATAAACATCTCGGTTAGAGGCAATTTCGCTGTACATCAACTGATGCACTAAACCGTAGTTGTCTTCGCCCATTTGAAAAACATCAGCCACGACTCGGAATCCGCAGTTACCATCTCCAACTACATCATTCCACCCGTCCAAGTACGACATGATGATGTTAGGTATCCTATCCTTGTACGGAAACTGATCAATATCGTTTCCTCCTATTCAACATATAATTAAACACAGTTAACAAGACAGAAGTAACCTAAAAAACAATGTACAATGTAAATTAAAGTAAGCAACCGTACCAGTTCTCAGGGGCATATTCACAGACGAAGAAGAATGACTACGACTAGATGACGATGTCCGACCATGACCAAGACCACAAACGTACTCAAACGCACTCTTGTTCCATCGTTGGCGACCACGAGGACGCTCAACCCCTTCGGGTTCCTCATAGTCTAAGCAAGACGTGTTGAACATGTCATGAAGTACATGAGTAGCGTCACGTATAATAAAAGGATGACTGGAGGACACTCGGTCATACATCGAACGAAACTGCTCCAACTTCTCCTGTTCATGGTCGACCGTTTGAGTATCTGCATGCTCACCAATAACGAGCGTCCGCCAGAGTGAATGAACCTGATCAACATGTAACGACGCCCTTTCTTCTGTAATAACGCGGTGAATGGTGCATGCGCAAGGTAATCCATGAGTTACTGAAATAGCACACCCGCACCGAACATACACTTCATCAGCCAAGTCCCTCATCCTGTTGTACTCAGTCAGAATCAACCCCAAGCAGTAGTGTGACACATGACCATGGAGAATCTTAAATATGAAATGGCTATACATCGTACCATGTCGCCGTCTGGAGTCCTCTAGAGAGTTCCTGATGCTGTTCTTATGAGTTTCAATTGACTTGTTTAGTCTATCGAATAGTGTATCCAAAGCAGCGGTGGAAGAATCAATCCAGTCCTTGGTAGCTCTATGAGCGCTCTCAACTTTACATGTTGTAGTGTTCCCGAAATGAAGTACTTGGTTTGTCCAATATTTGACAAACTTTTCCCTATGAGGGACCCACTGCTGCATCACATAGTCCACCAGTGACGGACACCACTGGTACGAATCCCTGAAGTTAGCTAATTCTCCCTCGTACACTGCCTCTGTGGTAGCTTGTAGGATCTTCAGCCACTTACCATTCACCAATCTCTCTGCCATTTCCAAATTCTTGTTGAAAAGGTTGTAGGCTTTCACTTTCACGCAATTGTTGATGTACCATGTGCACAACAAGTGCTTCGACTCTGGAAACAACTCCCTAATGGGGGCAAAGAGACCTCCCTCATAGTCACTGACGATGGCTGTTGGATGAACATTAGGCCCGATGTAGTTTCTCAGCTTCTCCAAGACCCAATAATAACTTGGAGCCGTCTCATCCTTGATGATTGCATGACCAATCAGAAAGTTCTGGTTCGTTGGAGTCATCCCCATGATCTCAACCAGTGGGAACTTGTACTTGTTTGTCTTGTACGTTGAGTCGATCAAAATCACAAATGGCCAAGACTTGATCATATCAGCACAATCAGGATGCACAAGGAAAAGATGAGTCACCTCTGTTGTATCTTCATCAAAATCAAACCAGAATAGGTAACCACGTGATTGTGCCTGGTGTAGCAGCTGCTGTATAGGGTTCCTTCCCTCTGACCGTTCAAACCTGAGTTGCTGTCTAACGTTGTAGATGTGTCTTCGGTTTGGATGGTCTTCTGGAAATTTCTCTAACACAGATGCTAATATTTTAGCAGGCTTGACTTGATCATCACTCATTTCTTTCACAACTAGTTTCGCAGCAGGACTTAAGCCGCTCAGCTGTCGATGACCCTCTTCATATACTATCATCTCATGGTTGTGATACCCCCATTTAGAGTAACCAATCACTTCCCAACCGTCACGACTCCGTAGTTGTCGAACCTTTACTATGAACTCACACCCACAACCTTTCCGCTTTGTATCAAACCGAGTGGCTGTACAGAAATCTCTTTCTTCTCTTTTGCGATAACGGTCGCATCTCAAAATGCGATCCATTTTACCATCCCGTTGAGATTTATGAGTTACTACTACCAAGCAAAATCCAACTGTAATTGCAACCTGTTTTGCCCAATCAATCGCTTGTTGAGCATTTTCGAATGGACCATCATGTCCAAATATCCCACTGTAATCATTTCCTTCTCCACCATAATCCTGCATCAATTATATATTATAATAAATATCAATTCAAGCTTAAATTAATACATTTAACACAACATTAACACATAATTAATATCTACATTTTTAATTTGTAAATTTCATTTCTACATTTAACGGATAATACATTTACTTTCTATATTTACACAGAATTAACACAAAATTAAAAACATAATTACGTATAATATTATTCATACATATACAAATTTAAAACACAATCATTTATAAAAGTATTCATACACATAAACAATTAAAAAATAATAATATATATTAACACAAATCTAATTTCCACATCATAAATAAAAACATAAAATTATTAAACTTAATAAAAAACATTTTGAATTTTCAAATTTAAAAAAAAAACCAAAAAAAAAGAAAAAAAACCATTTCGAATTTTCAAATTTAATTTTAAAAAAAAACTTAATTTAAAACCATTTCGAATCTTCAAATTTTCAAACCATTTCGAATTTTATTTTTATACAATTTCGCCATTTCAAATTTAAAACCATTTCGAATTTTAAAATTTAAAACCTTTTTGAATTTTCAAATTTAAATCCATTTCGAATTTTCAAATTTAAAACCATTTCGAATTGTCAAATTTAAAACCATTTCGAATTTTCATATGTAAAACTATTTCGAATTTTAAAATTTAAAACCATTTCGAATTTTTTTTAATACAATTTCGAATTTTTTTGAATTTAAAAAACAAACCATTTCGAATTTTCAAACTTAATTTAAAAAAAAACCATTTCGAATATTCAAACTTAATTTTCAAACTTAATTTTTAAAAAAACCATTTCGAATTTTCAAACTTAATTTAAAAAAAAAATCATAATTCTTAAATGGACCTGGTTCACACTAATTTATTGTGGACCACTAACATTAGAGAAAGTATGGTTGTTTTATTAATAAAAAAGGGGTCACTATAATTAAAAAAAAAAGTCACTATGTTGAAATAAAAATCATTTTGGTTATATATAGGCCTAAGTGTTTTTTTTGTAATGAAATATTTTATATACTGATCAATATGAATAATAAAGGCCACTATGTTAAAATTAGGATAATAGCGTCGTATTTCAAGTTCACAATATTATTAAACGTTGTAGTAGTAAAAATAAGGTTACTATGTTAAAAATAATGGTCACTATGTTTCATATAATGTCAGTTGCGTGTGTATAAACCTCGGGTCCACAATAATATTATTGTGGACCAGGTCCACGCAAGTCTTTTTGTTCGAATTTTCAAATTTAAAACCATTTCGAATTTTTTTTATTACGATTTCGAATTTTCAAATTTAAAAAAAAAAAAAACCACAAAATAAAAAAATAAAAAATAGACTGCAGGCCGGCGTCTGGCAGAAACGCCAGAGCCATGGACATGGCGCCTGACAGGGCCGCCACTACCATTGGACTGGCGCCTGGCCAGGACGCCTGTCTGGTGGTTCTGGCGTCTGGGCTGGACGCCGGTGCGGTGGTTGTGGCGTCTGGCTTGTACGTCCATGCTACGGTAGTGGCGTCCAATTTAGGCGCCGGCTCCACTGCACAGGCACCTCTTTCAGACGCCGTTAGGTACAACGTGAATTTTAACGGTACTTTACCTCGTTTTCCTTCGACGACGACGTACCTCCGGCGTCCCCCGCATCTCCGGCCTGCCCTCCGGTCTCCCCCGGCGACCCAGTACGGCTCCACATTTTTGAGATCGAGATCTGTTCACTTTAACTACAATTTTAAAAATGGGCAAAATTGTCAAACCAAGTCTAATTTGTGGGCTTTATATGGAAATTTGCTGGCGATATTTAACAAATCCCAAAAAAACCTGTTGAACATCACCAACAAATCAACAATCATCCAGCAGGTTGGAGGCTAACACATCAACTAAGTTTCCTTTTCGCCATTGAAGAAGCAATCACCCAGATCAAACCCACCTCATCCATACTCCAATTATTATCATTATTCTCTTTGACTTTAATTCGTTGAAAATTTCACAACTATAAATTTTTTTTTTTTAAAAAAAAAAAAAAAAAAAAAACCAAATATAATGTTGAAATTACAGCAACTCAGAATTTCTTCATCTCTATTGTCTCCCAAAAAATTCTGCAATTTCTTCCCTCCCAAAAACCCATCTTCTGTAATCACCATTAACAATAAACCCATCTTAAATCTAAGCTCTCAAATGGTTTTTCATACGACGCCGTCTCATGCCTCCAAGTATCTGTTTCGCCAGCTTTTCGAGAAGGATTCTTCCACTTATACTTACCTTCTTGCTGATGTCTCTCACCCCCAAAAACATGCTGTGGTTTGATTCTATTTCTTGCATTTTCGCGATATTTGTATTTTGTTGACTATTATCTTTGTAAAATGTGTAAATTAAAATAGATTAGTTGACTTTAATTGCGAAATTTAGAAAATTTTGATTCTTATCTTGTTAGGGTGATTGGGTGATATACTTGTCAAATTATGTTGTTGATATAGAATTTTGTTATTATCTGGTGATTGCGAAATCATTTTGGGACCAAGGCTTGTTGCTGCTGCTGTGGTGAATAAAAAACTAATTTTGTCGGCTAATTTAAGGCGAATATAAAAATCATATAATGGGGTTTGATTGATTAAAAATGAATAAAAAAAAGTGAAATAAAAATTATATTAAGCTGCTATTTTTTTGGGTAAAAACACTGAAATGCGACTTTTATTTGGGGATGAAACTAGTACTACTAGTGAGGGTTATACTCATGATTTTTAGCAAACATTAAAATCGAATTAGTGGAGTTTGGTGGATTGGATTAATATGAAATAAAGTTATTTAGAAAAAAAAGATACGAAATGAGACTTTTATTAGATTTTTGGGTGAAAATCATGAAATGAATGGCTTTATGATGATATTATATATTCATAGTGGCAAGTTTATGTCAAATTGTCTATTTCTTTGAGACTTGGAATCCATAGTTGTTTCCTTACTCATAATTCGAAATATGATTTTAGTTTATAAAAGATGTGAAAGCTACTTGATATGAAGAATGGTCATGGTTCCTTCAGGGGAAGAGAAATGAAAAGTTATCGAATCTTCTGAGAAGGGAATAATGAAAGAATATACTGATTTCCTTTTTGAGGTTACCTTTGGATGTTTGGAATAAATACAGTATTTTGAATAGAGGATATTATGTCATTCAAATTTGGCTCAGAGTGTATATGTGCATATTTCTTATTTTGTAAAATAGTCTCAAGTGTTTGGCCTTCTGTGCATATTACAGTGTTAGATATGTGTCCATGCCTATATCAGGGCAGTGGATATCATATAGATGTTGTTTTAAGTGCATTAAGGGTATACATGAACATTTTGTGCTGTAGCAGAGATATATTGTGCTTGGTTTGCACGCATGCGTTGGTTGTCATAGATGTAGAAACTTTTATATAGATTGAGAACTTGATCAATACTGTACAACTTCACAATCTTTTGACTATGAAATTCATTTTTGCAATGTGAAGAGCCTATTTTATTTTACTTGAATTTTGCAAACTGTTTTATGATTAAATGAAGAGAAACAATCAGAAATGAGTGTGACTTTCTAGTAGTGAAGCTCATACCTGTTACAAATATAACATTGTAGCTTGTTTGGCTTGATAGTTGACACATGATTCTCCTCAAGCAAGGCTCTTTAATTTGAGATTAAATATTTATTAACTTGCCCACTATTTATTGATCATGAGTGTCAAGCATCAGCTTAATTAAAGCATTCTGATGAACTTTGGGCAAATCCATTTGGAGCTTGTTACTTGTAAGCAGCTTAGAAGTAATAATTCTCAACAATTTCATGGTGTCTAAAAATAATTCATTACTCTTACTAATCTTGTATGTGTTTTTCTCTTTTAAATTAGTGTTCATGTGAGATTGTTCTCATCCCTGTAAACCATTTTGAATATAACAATCTATAAATTTCTAATTCTTCCTTAGCAAAATTCCTCCTACTTTTACTTGTTGTATTTGATCTAAAAACCTTGCAAAATTTTATAATTGCATTACCTTTGAAGAGAGTAATCTTGTAATTCAGCAGCCATCAATATAGTTGTGTACTTCGTTTAAATATGATCTTGTAGAACTACACTTGTCATTTTAATTCTCTTTAGGTTCATAAGATTGCTTATTCCAAAGTGGAAAGCCTTACAAGTGATTGGTTTGTTTCCATCTTATTCCAGTCCATTTTTATGCTTTTGTGTGGAAACTTCTCATTTGATCTTGTTTATTCCTCAAATATTATATTATAACCACTTATCACTAATTCCTTTAATATATTGCTGACACAAGCTATCTCTATGCAGTTAATTGATCCAGTGGACAAGACAGTAGACAGAGATCTTTCCCTCATCCATAATCTAGGACTGAAACTTATATATGCTGTGAACACTCATGTACATGCTGATCATGTCACTGGAACTGGGATGCTCAAGGTATATGCTCTTCATTCTTTTACCCTCCTGAATCTCATGTAATTAAGGTTTATTGCTTGGGATAAAACAAGCTCATCTTGTAATGGATTTAGAACTTGCCTTTCAATGAACAGTCATCTGTTAAGAATTATCCATTATAGACTGTTATTTTATCACATTAGTTGTTATAATCTAATTATAACCATTGAGCACATTAACCCAATTGAATTTGCATACATCCTGAGTTCTACTTAATTATTGTACCAACATAGACCTAAGGAAAACTGAAGAAGGAGGCCACTCATGTAGGTACTTTAGCTTTTAAGAGGAGAAAGATAGGTTAAACTTATAATTTATGATTGGGTTTCACATAGTGGGATAAGAGATCATAGATTGTAAATAAAAAGTCAATATAAGGAATAAAGTAAAAGTGGGTAGAGCTTTTAAAATTAGATGAAAAAGGAAAATTAGAATTTGAAGGTAGTATAACATGAGATTATGCTTCATTATAAATGTTTATCATCTTTAATTTCTTTGTAAATAATGAGTTAAAATTCTAAAAACTAAATCTGAAGAATTATGTCGAATATTTTTGTACTAAGCCTATGTTCAGTTCAACTTATTTAACAAATATTTGTTTATTTCATAAATGATCAAATCAAATCAGACCATATCTATTTTTATTTTGTGTTACTTATCGCTAGATATCTTTAATTCCATATTTAAAATATTTGAAACAAATATGACAATTTCATTGCTGGAAAGTACACATTAACACGAATCTAATGACATCTCAATTAATAATTTTTTATATTAAGGATTAGTGTAATGTCAAATTTGAAATCAGATCAGATCGATTAATAAATCATCAAATCAGATCAGGTGAACTAAACATAGCCTAAATGGATAAAGTGGATCTTAACCAATTTGTCAATTTATGTTGCGATGGTTGTGAAGCACACCATGATCAATACTGCAATTGCGACCATGACTACATCTAATATTTTTTATGATTCACTGTTTTTTGGAGACTTGATTCAAGATCCAGTTCTTTGTAATAATTTATGGGGTTCCTTTGATTATACTCACCAGAAGTTATTCAGAAGCCTATATGTGCATACTGATCCACCTGTACCGGATTTCATAATTAATTTTCAAAACACAACAGGTAATAACTAGATTGAAATTATAGGCTTTCCGATTTCATATTTAAACCATCAAAGAGAGAACATATATAGATGACTAGATTTAAAATAATGGATAGAGCAAGTAATAAACTTAGTATGTAGTTATCAAACATCTTGGGGGTAACGTTTTGTTGTATACTTCCAATGGTAGTAGGAGGGAACAATAGGAATATAGGGCTCTGAGAGATTGTTCAAAAAGTACTACAGTTTTATCCATCAGGTCATCTTTTAAATTGAGGAAATTTTAATATCATTTCTGTTTATTTGTAGAGTAAGGTTTCTGGGGTTATATCTGTCATTTCCAAAGCAAGCAATGCTAAAGCTGATCTTTTGGTGGAATCTGGTGACAGAATTGTTGTTGGTGACCTCGTTCTCGAGGTAAGTGTGCATTTTATTTCAAATTTATATCTCATTTGTTATGCTCAAAATTCTCTGATGTTGTTCTTTTGCCATGGGCAAAGAGTGTCTGTCACAGCTATTAATTTCACTGGAGGATGTATTTTAATACCGGTGAATTGCGCAGTGGGCCGTCTTTGACAAACTAAGCTTACTGTTATCTATGTTGTTGCTACTCCTTCTATTTCATAATAATCGCAACACTTTGACCGGCACACATGCTGATGCACAACTTAGACGATTAATATTTGTAATTATATATTACTAAGAAGTATAAAAGCTTGGTTTAATGAAAATATACATAAAGACTGATCCAAAAATATATTACATGGCAATATATGTTTTTTATAAATTGATTAAAAACTCAGTCAAAGTTAACATATAAATAGTGCAAAAGTCAAAGTATTGCGATTATTATGAAACGGAAGGAGTATATAGGTGAATTATGAACTGTTAATCTATGTGAGCAATACTAGGGGGAATATGAACTGTTAATCTCGCGTAGAGGGGAACGATGAGAAAGGCTCATCATTGTTAAGATATTTTGTCATAGATAAAGATCGTGCACTTTATCTTTCATCTATGTTCGAACCGTTTTATGAAGCTATTCTATGAAGACAGCCTGAAAACACCAAACTTGAAAGCTGATATCTTGAGACTCTCGTTTTTGTCTTTCTAGACAAGAATTTTTAAAACCAAAACTTCTTATTGGATTCTTTTCCTGAACTAGTTCTCTGAAGCAACACTCATGACTTCAAACTTTAAAACAATGTAGGGTGTCCTATAAAAATTTTCTGTAGTTTAGGCTTATGTCATAATATATAAGAATTGAATACCAAGAATCTAGATTTAGAAAAATAATAATAATACTAAGAAAAGAAGAAAAATTCTTTGTTCATTTTGATGCTTTTAGTTGAGTTCAAGAAACAGAGTTTGTCTCACAGTATAAATTGTTTCGCTCCTATTTAACCCCATCCAGCATAAGCTGTATGGTTTTTGCCAATAAATTAAAACATCAATTTTTTTTATTTTGTTTTATCATGTTTCACATTTAGTGCCTCTATATATTTAATACCTAATACAAGTATTCAGTTTCTTATGCCATATTATGTGAATGCAACAAGCACTGAAGCTGTGCAATGACAGATTGGCCTATACTTTTGTTGGTTAAGAAGCCTTGATATTTTGGTCACATGGATGTGCTGAGAATTTGAACTCATGCTTGTGAATGCAATACATTTGTCTTAGGTTCTCCCCACTCCTGGTCATACAGTTGGCTGTGTTACATATGTTACAGGAGATGGGCCTGATCAACCACAGCCAAGGATAGCATTCACAGGAGATGCTCTGCTGATACGTGGATGTGGAAGAACAGATTTTCAGGTACCCTGTGTGCATGTGAATCTTTGTGCATGTGTTTGACTGCTTTCTTTTGTACCTGCTTAAATATTAGGTGGGTGGTGCATGTAGGATTGTAGGGAAGAAGGGGAGGGGAAGGGAAGGGATAGAAAACCTGGAAGCTCTGTATGTATAAGAAAAGTAGAAAGAAAACTTAGCTTGATATTCATATGGCTACTGTATGATAAACCATGCTGTAAGATCATGTTACTTAAGTGACCATCAGATTATCTTGTCTCGTTCTCCTGTATATTGCCATGCTTCTCTTTCTCAATCATTGTGAATATCTTTGGTGTCTTGGTGTGCTTATGATGGTGAAAAAATATGGTTTGGATATAAAATTTGTATCTTTTGACTCTTTGAATCATGTATTGATGAAGCAAGGCTTCCAATAACAAATTTCTTTTTTAATGGTAAATTTTACTGAGATGGCCTATTTAGAATTTTGAGTCAAATTCTCATTCTTATCAATGCAAATGAGTAAAATGGCACCCAAATAGAATTTATATAATAACTGAAAAACTGTTCTTTAGTCCCTTTTTGTTTCATATTTCCATGCTTCCTAGGTTTCAACTTTCAGGTTATTTTGGGTTAATTGTGTGGTACAAACACCAGCAATAGTAATTTAATTTTGTGTTGTTAATCCTCGTGGTAACATGAGGAGAGAGAGAAAATAGAGAGTTAGGGAAGAACATGCTAACAATTGACCAATGTAGTTTGTCGAATATCTGATCAGCATACAACATTTTTTCTATACAGGGTGGAAGTTCAGCTGAGCTCTATAAGTCAGTGCATTCACAAGTAAGAACCTGTAGTTTAAACCATTTTCTTTAGCTTGCATGGAAAATAAAGAGAATTTCACATCATTCCTGGACTAGACTACATGAAGTTGCATTTAGCTTATTGTTTTTATTTCATGGATGCAGATATTTAGCTTGCCAGAGGAGACATTGGTTTATCCTGCTCATGATTACAAGGGTTTTACAGTAAGAGACATTGTTGAGCTTTCATATTAATCTTCGTGAAATTCCTCAGAAACTTTGCAGCTTTACAAGTGTTTCCAATAGTTAATAGTTGATTTGACATTCAGGTAAGCACTGTGGGAGAGGAGAAGCAGTATAACCCTCGCTTGACAAAAGACAAGGTGACATAGCTGAACTCATTTATTTTGTTTTGTCTTCAGTATTCTGCTTCATTGTCTGCAAATCTAATTGTTATTTATGAGGATGCTCTATTAGAGATTGAATAAACTTGCAGCATGGAATTTCTTGTTTTTTTATTTTATTTTATTTTTTTTTCTGTGTGTTGTCATAATGTCATATTACGAAGTCATTTCTTCCACTAGTTAATGCTAAATGCTTCTCTGGAAAGCAAAATTTCAATGGATGTCTACCAGGATACTTCGTATAAGATAAATAGGGTTATAAACATTTCTCTATGATTTTTCATTAGAAAATCTATGGCCTCAATCTCAGGGAATTTTTTAATTGGATCGCCATCCTCTTTTATAAGCTACATTAAGGTTCTGGTTATAAGGGATGTTACATTGTTACCACATCGCTGCATGTGTTGCCTACTGCTATTTTTCTATGAGATTGTGTGCTTTTGTTATGCTTAATAATTAGTTTCTGGATCATTTTGCAGGAAACATTCAAAAGCATTATGGAAAGTAAGTACATATTCCTCACATCACATCTTTTCTAATGTTTATTTTTTCATGATGCTCGTTGAATATTGACGGTGATCTTCCTAACTTATGATTACAGACTTAAACCTGGCATATCCAAAGATGATAGATGTAGCGGTTCCAGCAAATATGGTTTGTGGCTTGCAAGATCCAGTTCCAACTACACACTGATTTCCCTAAATGAATCGGTGCGAATTGAAGTACTTTCTCATCTTTAAATCCATTAACACCAATGTGGAATCTCCTCGGCATATATACTCAGCTAGAATTTCCTAATAAATATCAGTGTTGGAGTAGAGAAAACATGTATAGATTACATAGTTTTATATTTTTATTGCAGCCAAGTTCGGCGGAAGAACAATGTTCTCCAAATTGCATGTATGTTTGCAGTCGTGCAAGTTTGTAAATATGAACAATAGGGGAATTATAAAATACTAACTATGGTTATTTAACCATTTAAGCCAATTATCAATCATGTTATAAACATGGAAATAAATATATATAATTGCACCATAAATATCAAATACATATAATCATAGGGAATGATTAAAGTAGGAACTCGGTGCAACGCCCGGACTACGTACACACTAGTTAATGGATGAAATTGTGCATTCACAAGTGTGAAAAGTGAAAATGTTGCATTGCATAAAAAAACATAAAAAAATGTTGCAATTACATAAAAATAGTGGAGGTAATTATTTTGCACGAAGGAGTTGAATCTTTCTAATATAATATTCAAATAGAAAACTTCCTAATAAATTAAATTTCCCATATTCTAATCATTACTCTATTACTCTATCTCTATATGCGCATTAAATGTATTCTATTACATATTTATTTATTTATTTATGACTGAGTTGAGATAATGTTCTTACAGTTTTATTTATCATTGATTCATTGTAATTAGATTATTTAACAATTAATTCCTAATTTGTACATTCGGGTGTACAAAACATGGACATATAAAGAAAAGAACATGGCATTCTTCTATAACAAACGCTTATAAAACTGAGTTGTCATAATAATTTTCTCTCTAAAATTAAATTCTCTCAAAAAATAATTCAAGAATTCATATTCAAAATTCAAAATTTAAAATTTCATTTTCCAAAATATTTTATTTTTGTCATAGTTTTTCCCAAATATTTAATTTATTCCATATTTAGTTATAAATTTCATCTTAATAAAGGTTATGTGTTTTTCTTGTGATGTTGCTTATATGATTTAATAATTTATTAACACTATGTTCTTTCCATATGCCCATTAGTGAAAAGCTAAACTTCGTCCTCATTTTACATACTAACGCTCGCATTTTGATTTAAAAAGACTATTTTGCCCCCTCTCTTTCTCACTCTCATCCATTGAAGCAGTTTCTCTATTTTCTCCCTTAAAAGTGGGATGACTTACGAACTTTCTCCTAAAATTGGTAATACACACAATACATTGGACACACAATCAGTCCAATACACTAATTTTATTTATATGACTGACATTTGCAAACAACTTAAATTGCTGATTTTTCACATATACAAGATTACAAGTATGTAATTGTAAAGTAATCCTTAATTAACCAAAAAATTGAAAATAATTTAATTGGGATTAAAATTACCACCTCTTCACATAGACGTTTAATGGGTAGCGAAAATCAAAGAAAGAAGGTGGTCGGAAAACACTTGGAAATATCGTAACCCGCAGGTAGAAACGCCTGAATTTTTCGTTCCCACCAGCGGGTTACGATATCTTTAGGCATTTTATTGGAAACGCCTGAAGTTTTTGAAATCTACAGGTGGGAACGAAAAATACAGGCGTTTCCACCTACGGGATACGATTTATTTAGGCGTTTCCTCTAATTTTATTTGTAAAAAAAAAAGAAAAAAAAAACCTCTTAAAGCCGGTGATGGTGGTGCCGTGGTGGTGGGCCTGATGGTAGGTGGTGTTTGTGGTGGTGGTAGGTGAGAGGAGATGGTAATGGCATGGGGGAGATTTTTTTTTTTTGAAAGACGGATTGAAATAGCATGGCACGGGGGAGATGGTGTGACGACGGAGAAAGCTCGGAAGTTGCATCAATGGAGGAATGCTCATAAGCCACTTAATTTTTATTTTTTATTGAAAGATCATAAGCCACTTTCATGGAGAAATAAGAGTAGGTGCTTATCAGATGAGAGTGAGAATGAGAGGGGCATAATGGTCCGTTTAAGATAAAATGAGGGCGTTAGTATGTAAAATGAGAGCGACGTTTAACTCTCTTAATAAAGTATTTTAAATGTCCATGTTCTTTGTTTTGTAAATGGAATGTACTTTTATAGTCGCATAATGTTCAACTTATTGTGAAATGTTTTTTGAATTTTGTCTTTGGATTAGTTAGGTAAATATAAATAATGTTCATTACATAATTATCACGTTCTTTATTAGTATTGCATATGTCATTAATAGAAGAGATCCCAAAAGAATATCATCATTATCAATCGTCATGATCCTGATTTACAAATATATATATATATATATATATATATATATATATATATATATATATATATATATATATATAATGTGGATCATGTGAAAACAAGCCTATAGCTGAAAACATGAAAACGGACAATCAAGACCGTAGATTATGACCCATCAAATCTCACGGCTGAGATTAAAACACATATCCTCGCTCAAACCCATAACCCACCGTCCAAAATTTTCTCTCTCCTCAAACTTGCAAACCTCTTATCTTTCTCTCTCCTCAAATCCCAAAATTAAACACAAATTGCTGGAAATTGAAGAATTTTTGTTCAAATTTCGCATAAACAACCTAAATTGCTCAAATCAGGTACGTTTTTTTTTCCGATTTTGTTCAAATTTTCATGAAAAACGCATGATGTTCAACTAGATTTTGTGATTTTTCAATTTGATTTTTCCGATTTTAATTTTTGCGATTTTTGTGATTTGATTTATGCGATTTTCCGATTTTTAATTTTCGATTTTATTTGGCAATTTTATCAATTTTTTTTCCTGCGATTTTGTTCGATTTCTTGTGCGATTTGCGTGTTTTGTTCATCAATTTTGTTTGATTTCTAGTGCGATTTTTCGACTTTTTCTCATCAAATTTGTATTTTCTTTTTTCCATAATTTGATTAGATTTCAGATTTTTAATTTTCGATATCATTTGGTAATTTTATCAAAAAAAATTTCTGCGATTTTGTTCGATTTCTGTGCGATTTTGTGTGTTTTGTTCATCAATTTTGTTCGATTTCCACTGCGAGTTTGCGACTTTGGTCATCAATTTTTTCGACTTTTTTTTTTTTATCAATTTTGTTCGATTTTGTTTGATTTTGCGAATTCCTGTTCGATTTTGTTCAATTTTGTTCGATTTCCTGTTTGATTTTGCTTGGTTTTTGTTTGTTTTCATTTGTGATTTTTGTTCAATTTCCTGTTCTAAATATTCCTTATCAAGATTTTGCTAACAATTCCTTTTCCGTTTTCATTTATGATTGCAGACAACTGCATAAAGACTACGTCGCAGGATACAAGGAGCTTCACCATGGGATGCATTCTGATGCCTTCACAAATGAAATTGGTTTAAGGAGTTTTATGCAGAAAGCGATATACTGCTTCATATGGTGTTTTAGGAGTATAAGGTAAAATATTAAGTAAGCAATATACTGATGTTAGTCATGTTACATGCTTATTGCTGAACTTATGTACTATGAGTAGTTGAGAACACCACATGTTTTCCATGTGTTGTTTTTTACATACAACGATCCAGTTGCATGTTTGCTTTGAAGCGTCACATTTGTCTGTTGTTACCTTGAAATCTCTTTTAAGCTTCTTTAAAGTTATGAGAATTTGAATGTCGAATAGTCGACCTCAGTTCAACACGTTATAGCTGGCTTTGTTGCCACAACTTCACTACTTCAAAATGAGATAATTGATTGTGTTGGAGAAACTCTAAAGTAACTATTTTAGCACTAGTACTAAAGTAATTAACCTGTTTAATTTCTTTTGCTCTTGGTCTCATTAGCCTCGCCCCTTATCACATTTCAACCTTGATCTTGTGCATTGTGGTCTTGTTCAACAGGATAACATTCACCCCAACCGTCCAACATTGCAGTATGGCGATTGTTATTGGCTTGTGCCTAAGAGTTAAGCTAAAGCATTACTTTCCTCCTCATTATAAGGTGAGTTGTTTTGCCTTATGAACTTGTAAACCTGATTGATTTATTTGGTATGCTTGAAATATAATCTGAGAAGCCTTTCGAGACTGCCCATTTCTGTTCGTCATGCCATACAATAAATACAAAATGTATAGACCAACTCGAGTGAAGAACAAAATCTACCCTAAGTAACTGGTGGGTTGATACTGGTAGCTCAGATATAGATACTTCCACTCTCTAATTGTCATTTGTCTTATGTTTTTGTATGCATCACATCTGCTAGCTAGTGTGCCAGTCTGCCATAGATTGAAATCGACAGCTCATTAACATATCCAACAAGAAGAATGATGTCTTACATTGTCATCTAGTCGTCTTCAGTCCTTGAGTAATCTGAAATAAAACCATGCTGGTGATCTGGGAGTAATTATTTCTAAAACTGATCGTTTGGTTGTCCTTTGAGTCATACTTTTCGTTCAATGTGATTTCGAGTTGTGTAAGGGGAACCATGATATTCTGGCTCTTGTGTAATGGGGACATCGTGATTTTCTCAGACGAATAATACAAGTATTGTCTTTTTTACACAGGTTGACATCAAAGTATCCCCTGGCTCTTATGCAGATGAAGGATCAGGTGAAGCTTGCAGATTTCTGAAATTCCTTTGTTTAATTGAGCTTAAGACTAAATTTTTAGCAAAACTCATTTATCCTGATTACTGATCTGGGAGTAATGATTTGATTACTGATCTGATTTGTTTTATTTGTCCTTTGGGAGATTGTATGTATGTATTCCTTTTGCTCCTTTTTGGTCTGGCATGTAATACTATCTATAGGTTATTGAGTAGGCCTCTGTGGGGTTTTAATGTGGGGTTTTAATATACTAGAGCTGTTGAGATTGTACAATGCTTTCAAGACCATTTATAGGTTGTATCAATTTTTCCCTTTGATCTCCAATAACTGTTGATACTTTATTCTCATCTTGAAATATGCAGGGTAAAGGACATGTTAGTTAAATAGTAGAAGCGTGTCTTTAGAAATTTATTTCTAGAATTCGAGTATGCTAGTTTGCGTTATTGGGAGCTCTATCATGCCTGATCTTACCTTGTCAGCTGTAGTTAGTGTAGTAACCTTCTTCAGCCTTTGTGAAGATTTATCTCTGATTGTATGATTTTTGGTGCCTGCCTGTTCAATATCTACATTTTGTTGGGATTCCTCATATACAGGTGGCTTGCTCGTATCATGATATCCTGGTATGCTTTTATTTGCCTCTGCTTCTGTCCTTAAAACGTTGATCTTGTCAAGCTTGTTTTGCTTCAGTCTGTATGATGTT